TCATTGAAAGCATAAAGTTGGTAGCCATCTTGAACTTTATAAGAACTTGAAAAATTTCCAGACCAATAGATTTGATTAGATTGAGCTGTGAGAGATATTGGTAGACTACAAACAAGAGAAGCACTGTCTGACTGGCATAATCTGAAAACTAAAAATTTATTCCATCTGACTCGATTCCAGAAAGAAGAATCATGCACTAAAAGATCTAAGACTCTGCTAATGCTTGCAGAAACATCAAAACTAACTTGCATGGGCCACCAAGTATGGTGGTTAAGGGAGATTGAGGAGCCATTTCCAATCTTCCATTTGAGCCTGTCTAATATCAATCCAGCACAATCAATTATTTCCAAGAAAAAAAAAAACGAACCGAACTTGCTGGTTCAGGAAAAAAACCGGTCACCTATAGAACCAGTAATTAACCGGTCAAGCCGGCATTAAACTGGTCAATCGCCCGGTTTGGGGTTCGGCCGGTTTAATTTTTTTCCCCCCCCTAATGCCCAAAATGACGTCTTCCAACATTTAAAAAAAAAAATTTGCAACGCTGTGTTCAATTCACTCGGTCCCTATCTCCTCCTGGCCAGATTGAATCCCATTTCCATCTTTATTTGAGCTTTCCGTTCTCCCTGCCCCAAATTCCTTGCATCGCAATCAAGTTGCTGTGGAGAGTGGAGACAACAGCACGGTGGTTGACTTGTAGTGGAGACAGAAGCATAATGGTTGACCAAGATTCCCATTCCCTTCTTTGTTGAGTTCGTTCTAGTCGACTGTTCTCCCTGCCCCAAATCCCTTGCATCGTGTAACATCCTAAGTCTTATCGGGTTTAAATAGCCTCTTTTTGGTTGATTTTGAGGATAGATTAGTGATTTAATGTTGATCTTGGTGTTTGGGTTACAATTGAGGTATGTTGGAGGAATAGGTGAACAGACCCCCCCTCAGGGTATGTTCGCCACGGTGAACCGGGAGTTCTAGGGGGGATTGTCTTTCGGGAAGGTTTGGCCGCCGCGGCGAAGTTGTTCAGTGAGCGAGGTTCCCCTCTCGGGAAGGTTTCACCGCGGCGAAGGTAGGGGTATGCCACGGTGAAGGTTTTTCTGGGCGAGCGAGAGTTTCCTCTCGGGAAGCTTTCGCCGCGGCAAAGTCAGGTTTTCAGGCGAGTAATCCCTCTCGGGATTAGTTTGCCGCGGCGAAGTTCTGGGTTTGCCGGGCGAAAGGTGTCGAATCTATATAGTCGCGGGAGGGTCTGGTTCTGTGAAACTTAGAAAATCTGAAGGAGAGAGAGAAGCTCTGCTAGGGTTTTGGTGTTGTGGCTGGGGAAAGGTGTTTCTAAGGATCCATCCCTCAAGTAAGTGATCTTAACCTCTAATCTACTTTCTTTCTTGAAATTTCTAAGGATTTATGGTGAAACCCTAGAGTTTTCTAGATTGTTATGGAATTGAGGTTTTTGACCATTGTTTTGAGTTTAATTGATTGCTTTGGGTTAGTCTAAGTATTTAATCGGTGTAGTTTTCTTGGATTTGAAGAACTTTGAGTTTTTGAAATTAGGGTTTATGGAAATGGGAGGTTTGTGATTGAGGATGATAATGTAGAGGTTGATTTTGAGTTTTGTGATTTGGATTATGTTAAGGAGGGTTAAATTGGATGTTTAATCGGTTTAGAATGTTGTTAAGACTTCAATTGTTCAAATGGGATGTTTGGGTGTTGAATTCCTATAGTGGGTCCTTGAGGTTATGAATTTTAATTGATGTTTGGAAAGGAATTAAGGTTTTAAATGGATTTTTTTATGACCTTGGAGTGTTGCCTTGATGGTTATACCCTTTGAGTTGGGTAGAGTTTGGTTGGAGTTAGGAATTTTTGTCCCCAAGTGTTGTTTTAGCCACATTATTAGTTGAAAGCTAATACATGTTGGCTGTGTGCTTGTGTAGACCGGGTGTGAGCCTTGTTGGTGCACGGGGCCGTATTGTTGGTTTGTTTTCCTTGCTCAGGCGAGAGGTAGCCACTTTCAATCATTTGTACATGCTTTTGTGGTATTGTGAGTGGATTTATGTTTTGTGCTCCGAGTAACAACTGTGTTCAAAGTGTATGTTATATATTAAACGGAAAACCGTCTTGTGGGGTTTAAATTGATATTGATTGAATCTAGAACTTGTGAAAGATAGGCCACTGAAAGAAGTTAATTGTGAAATGATCATTTACTCTTTGATTACGGTTTGAACATGATGCATTAATTGAGAATTGGTGAGAGTTTTGATTGTTACTACCACGTGGTAAGGCCTCCATTAATGCATGATGGTTGGCTCTTTACGTCCACCATAGTGAGGGATAGGCCTTTTGGCTCCCTACGTCCCCCAGAGTGAGGGATAGGCCTTTTATGGCTCCTTACGTCCCCCATAGTGAGGGATAGACCGGGTTCGGCTCTTGAAAATCCCCTAAAGTGAGGGATATAGTTGATGGGATTGCATCATTGCACTTGCATGACTTGTGTGGCTATCATTTATAATATTACTTGTAAACTGCCCCACTTGACACCTCACGAGCACCTATTTAGTAGTACCTTGAATTGGAAAGGTTGGTTACTGGGACGTTGTCTCACCCCGTGGTTTACAATGTTTCAGATGAAAATTCTAGGCGTGTGCCATCAGGAAGAGATGCAGAGGCTTGATCTTGGTTAACTTTAGGCCTCTAGCCCTTGTATATGTATGGCTAGTATATATTGCCACGTTTAGGACCCCTTTTGAAATATTTTGATTACCCAGCCTTATTGTAAACTGGAGGAAATGTTATCTCCTTATTGTGGTTGGCCGGAGGCCATTTCTAGTGTCTTATGAAACTCTGATTTATTTTGTTGGAAACCATTTGGATAGGTTGATGTTGATGTCTTTTGTTACCTGAGCCGGAGGCTCGGAGGCCCAGTGGATGTTAATGAATGATTTCTAGTTGCATGCAACAGAGTTTGGGTTTGTCTCGAGTTTGAATGTTAATTTCAAAAATTGCGCAATTCTTTTCTACTATGGTAGTTTGTTGTAACAGCTTTCCTTTTCTACCATAGTAGTGATTTTATGACGAGTTTATAATATTTTGAGGATAAGGGTTTTACACATCACCGTCAAGCTGTCGTGGAGAGTGGAGACAGCAATGGGTGGTCGACTTGTAGTAGAGACGAAGGCACAGTGGTTGATCTGTCGTGCGTCATGGAGAGTGGGGACAGAGGAAGCACGATGGTCGCCTCTCCAAATCCTGGATTTTGCTGCTCGCCTGGTTCAAATTCTTGGTTCATATTCAATCAATCATATCGGTTTTAAATTCCTTTTGTTGAACTGGATTGTGATACTTTATTTAGGATGCTTATGAAGAGATCTGTTGAAGGAAGTGAGTGCAAAACTGGTTTGTTGGCTGACTCTAGTAATTTTGTGCGTTCTTGTGGCAAACGAGCAAATGGCCTAGGCAAGAGTGTTATGGACTCTTTGTTCTATTTTAATATTATGAATTAAATTATATTATTTTAATATGACCGGTTCGACTCTTGGTTTGACCAGTGACACATGACCCACTGCCTTGACTGGTTTAGTCTCCGGTCTGGTTTTTTGTTTCTGATTATTCCTTTCCAGGTATAGGAAGAGTTATATAGGCTTTTGGCCAAGTGAGGACTAGATTCATCAAAGTATTTAATTCTAATTTTTATTTGATATCTATACTCACCAACATATCCTCATTTGAAATTATTTTTTTTATTAACTAATAAAAAGTGTTTTTGGCATAAGCTTAATCATTATATGCATAATGTAGATCTTTTTAACGTTGATAATTAATTAATTATAATGGCAAAAAGAAAAAATTAACTGCATAATTCTATAGCTGCACATTTTTATATATTTTTTTTGTTAAAGCATAGGTATCCTCTTATTGAAAACAATCCTATTCGAGACACTGTTGGGTACTAAATGTGAGCATCTTTTTCAGTGAGAATTTAAATCTTAATTCGTCATATTATAAGAAACTAACTCTTTCTGTTAGACCCAACCCCTCTTGGTTATTCTTTTTCAATCCGTTGCATCATTTCGTTTCACTTAAAAATTATGCCCAAGATACAGGCCCGATTGATTTATTTAAATAGAGTCCAATAGAGATCCGAGCCCAATTTAAGAATCCAAGGGTTTTCTCTTTGCTTTTCAATTTTTGACCTCAACAGAAAAGAAGCCTCTGGGACTGGGAGGGACTGCCGGTTTAACGGTTTCTGGTGGTCGCGCCTCTCACTGTTCAGAGCAAGCGCGACAGAGGAGCTACAAAGCGTCGGAGAGATATAGAGAGTTCTCAAGGGACTAAAGAGCGAAACGACTGAGAGATAGCCGGAGGGAAAAAGGAGGAAATCGGAGCTCGGGGAAGCTAAAATGAAGATAGCTGCAGCTTCTCTAGTCTCGTCTCGGTTCACCCAGTTCTGAGATTCCCAGTTCGACCAAGTGAGGTAAGGTTCCCGAAAGCATCGTTCATGGCAAATTTTGTCAGTGCTTGATTCACAACGAGATTGATGGAGGCAGCAAGATGCTTCTATCATCGTGTTCGGGTTATATAGCCAAAACCGATGTTTCTTTTTCAGTTCGTTAAACTTTCTGTCCGATGATTTATGAATGATATTTGCTTCAATGATCATATTCGGGTTGCCTATCCAGCTGGTGGTTTTGGTGCTCAAAAAATGCAGATATTTAAGCCGTTAATGTAAAAAGAACAGACCGATTTGAAAGGCTGTTCTGGAGTTGCCATTCCTATTGCCATAGTTGTTGCACCTGCGCTTTTTCACTGCGTAAGACGAATGGAAGAGCAAGATAGAAGCATGTGTAAAGAGACAAAACTATGTGAAGAATGCAGGTCCAACCCGTCAATATACAAATGTCCTGGTTGCTCCATACGTTCATGCAGTCTTGCTTGTGTAAAAGCTCACAAACAACGCACGGGATGCACCGGCAAGAGGAATCAGACTCACTTTGTTCCTATTTCTCAGTTTGATGACAACCTCCTACTATCTGGTAACTGAAAGACTATAGTTTGCCTTTGAACCTTAAAGACCCTGTTGATCTGCAATTTGCTTGCGTTACCATTCTTTCAGTATTCAAGATGTTTTACATAAGTGATTTTTCTTGGTCATTTTTCATGTTATTACTTACTTTGGGTCTTTTTATGCCTTCAACTTTTTGTCTTTATTAGCTACTCATTGATCTTTCATTAATGTGTATGTTAATGGTTATGCCTGTATGTCTTAGAATTTCCCAATACGTGGATCTTTTGTTTATTATTATCTTTTGTGTTGGAAATATCTCAATCCAGACTATAATTTGCTGGAGGATATGAAGAGGGTAGCTGAATCTGCTCGAAGAATGCGAAGTAAATTTGGTGCGCATTTTAGGTTACCTTTGCACCTTAAAAGCCTTCGAAATGCTGCAGGGAGCCGGAAAACTAAGCTCCTGTTTCTTTATAAAGGGATGTCAAAAAGAGAGAAGAATCAGTCTCGATATGACAACAGGTTATTATTTTCATGTGATGTAGTTAGTAGTAGTTAATAGTTATCTGATGTTATGCTGAATGGCTATTTGGAGCTTAGATTATGCAGGTAGTTGGGTTTGCTGAGGTGGGAACTTTATGTTTTAAGTCAGATAAGAATCTATTTGTGAAACTCTTTCAGGAAGAAGTTCATATCTTGGACTATTGAATGGCGTTTTCACCAAACAGATATTGTTTTAGTTGACCACGGGTGAGCCACACGGCCAATTTCTTCTGTTTTGAAAAGGATTCTTCTCTGTTTACAATTTCATAATTTTTTAGAGGATATTGTGCTCATGGTCTCCAGAGTCGATGAGAATGCAAGCTTCAGCACTATTCTGGAGAAGCATCTTAAGCCCGGTCCTTGGAATCATCAATTGAGGAAATTTTGTGAAGAGGAGCTGGATTGTCTGAAGCTTTTCATTCGGAAGTACCCAAAGGTTGTTTTTGTTACCTCTTCTCTGGTTAAGTTCATGTGTTGTTTGTGGTGGAGTTCACATCACTAGTTTAGGTTGTTAAAAGTTTTACATAATCATGTTATTTTTCTGTTGACTTTGCTAAAGGGAATAGTACAATTATTTTTATCCGGCTTATAAATTATTACATATATTAATTTTTTGCATGCACTTCTTAGTTACCATCCGTTCAGCTTATGTTCCTAGTATTGCTTGCTGCCTATTTGGTACATAAATGAAAGTATTATAATAATAGGGAGAATTGCTATGAAATCCTAAGTGAGGAACATAATTACTAAGAAGTCCAAGTGACAATAAGAGTAGCCTGCTATGACAAGTACTAGGGTAGTAAATGACAATCGCTTACTTGTCATTAGAACTTACTGGTAATTATTTTATTTCCCTGAGATCTCATTGTAATTCTCCTATAATAATATTGGATCATGTTTATGATTAGATAATGAATCATTTTTTCTTTTCACGTATAACTTTTTGTCTTTGTACATCTTAATACAGGGACCGAAGTCACCATTTAAAGAGCTGGACGTGAAAGCTCCAATTAGAGAGCAATTAGCAAACGTAGTGATTTTGGAATTCCCTGTTGTTCATGTTTTTCTGCCTTCTCACAACGTCAATTTTGAAGTTATCAAGCCGGTCAATCCCACTTTACATAAACCACTGCAAAGGGATTGTGATGGCGCCCAAAGCCCAAAAGGCATGGCATTCAGGGAGGAGGAAATAGAAGATGACAACAGCTCCCCAGATCCTCACATTTTAGATCTCATGAAGCATTTAGATTCAGAATTATCGCATCAAATGCCGAGTCAAAACAAGAGTTCTGAGCGAGCAGTAAATATTTCATCAGATGGCCCTCTGCTTGAAGGAGACACAGCTGGAGATCTTTCGCATTCTTCCCCGAAAAGTGACGATCTAGATTTATCTGAAAATATGGCATTGGACTTTGATAGTAATTATATGGATATCTATTCTGATCTTATGGCTCTAATTAATCCTGAGGATTTTATTGATTATGAAAGTGAACTTTCCAATAAACCAGGAGTTGAGGGAAGAGATTTAGGTGGTGTCAGCGGAACATGTCCTGTGCCAGAGGAATTGGAGGAAGGGGAAATTGCAGAATAATTGGGACCTATGGTTCTGTACTGAGCAATGAGAAGTGGAAAGGCGTGTAACTATTGGAAAGCTTATGCTTTCGGTTGTATCAAGCACGAGGGAAACTTTAGGGTGCTGGGTTTTTGTCACAATTATCTGCCCAGGAAATGAATCTGCTTTTATTTTTACTCTCTGGCCTATGAATCTGATCCCCATTCTTTTCCATTAGTTAGGCTTCGATTTGTTAGACTCATTTTGATAGTTCTTGACGCGAAAAGATTGCTGCCCTACTTTGCATGGGGAATTCAGAATGAGCCCTACTCTCACTGCCTCATCCTCTCAGGTCACATTATTGTTTGCCCAAATTTTATCGGTAGATTAGATTCATAGATCGGCTCCTAACATCCCTTCTAATTCTTTACTTCAAAGGCAAATTTACTTAATATTGCATTTGAAATTATTTTTTTCCCCAAAAAATGCATTTGAAGTTCGATGAAATATTGATTTATTATTCAATTAAAATAATGCGAGACAAGATTCATATTAGATAAGTGGATTTTAGGGTGTGTTTGGATGAAACCAAACTATGGTTTAAAGAATAGTTTTTAGAGAATAGATTCTGGGAAGAATAGATTCTGTGAAGAATAGATTTTGTAAAAAAGTGATTCTGAGAAGTGAGAGTGTTTGGATAGTTGTTATCAGAAGTACTTTTTATATATACAAATTACTAAAAAAATATTAGTTAATATGATAATTATATAAAAGATAAATTTTATGATATATTTTAATTTGAAGGAATAAAATTGTTAATAATATATTTTTTACCAACATAATTAATAATACATAAGATAAAATAATTAATATGTGTATATATGTTTATAAGATATAATGTTAAATATGTTTATAAAAAAATAATTGAGAAATGTTAAAGTCATATTATTGTTGAGATCTACTCTGACAGGCACAATCATCTCTCCAATTTGAGCCAGAAGCAGAATAAATTCACTTCTCCTGAACCCAAACCATGGTTTCAGATTATTGGCTCAAAATTGATACTGTTTGGGTAACATCTCACCAAAACCATGGTTTTGCCTCCCAAACCATGGTTTTGAGGGTCACCCAAACAGACCCCTAATCTGACATTTCTAAGGCCATCGTTAAAATTGTGGTGTGCAAGAAAATAGATTTGTTATGGAATCACATAACATTTATTTTTATTATATTATATTGAAATATTATTCAAACCTAATTAATTTTCAGTTGAGTTATTTTTTTCCCCCAAAAAATCAAAGGGCAAGCACTAATTACAGCCTGAGGTTACAAGTGGGATGTAACCTGCAAGACTATAACATATTACTATTTGTATATATGTATGCATCACTCTCTATGCATCACCCTCTACATAATATTCAAGGATGCATGTAGATAGGATTATGACTTTACTTTTGAAATTAGGAAACCCTGATGGCGCCGTTTTTCTATGTTATTAGCAAATTTACGTTACAGCACATATAAACCAATCCAGCAGCCAATAATTAAAACCGTGCTCCCCAAGAACAGTTGAAGTAAATGAATGACAAAGCAAAATAAGATTAAGAAAACCCTACCAAAAAAATAAATTAATAAACTTTGTGGCGTGGTAATCAAATTGCTATTCTATTCCATGCCAATGGAGCCGGGGGAAAAAGTCATTGTTTTTCCCCCCTTAAAGTCAGCACCTTCGACCAATAATCTGTCAATGATCACTGCGTTGAAAGTTTGAAACAGACAAAATTTAGCTAATAAGTTTTCAGACGTTTGATACAGTAATTTTTAATAAAATGCAAATTATAATAATTTCCATAATTTAGTCATGTTTAATCAATGTTTTTTTTTCATGTTAAACAGCTTTATGAATTCGATCTTTCAAATAACAAATTATTGCATGTAATGATCAGAAAAATAAAGTAAAATGTACCTTCAAATAATTAGCCTTATTTATACTCTTTCTTTTTCTTTTTTGGGTTTTGGCATCATTTTATCTTCAAAACACATTAATGCAAATTTGACTAAGTTTTTATCAATTTGAAATTAGGTAGGTGACTTCTCTTGTTTTGTGGAGTTTGTGGCATGGACCAAAAAAATAAATTCTGTTTGACCTTGGAAATACGAAAATAACAGAGAATCTATATACTTCACCGTATTGACCAAGCAATTAATTTCATAAAAACGTCTAAATGCACGTCATTTGAAAAATGGTGGTGCTATTTACTCACGAGTACTGTTGACACTAACATTTTTTTTCCAATTATGTGGTTTTCATATTGAAATATGGGCATTATTTTCTTTTCATATTACGCTACAAGTTTGAAAAATTCTCCCTCAGAAAAATTTTCCGACTCATTATTTATTTTTCTTTTCCAACTTGAGCTTTCCTCATGAGGCATGAGGATGAACAGAGTTATTTTGCAATAGTATCCCATACACACACGTCAGCCAAAAGCATAAACAAAACTAAAGGAATAGTGCAACTGAAATTAACGTCTTAATTACTATATAAAATTTTGTATGGAAAGAATTATGTAACATCTTACTTGTACATATGAGGAAACATCTATAAATGGTCAATTTAAAAGGGGGGAATAAAAAATAGGATACGTGGAGATAGGATTACGTGGTAAGTTTTGAAGTTTGGGAACCCTGATGTCGCCGTGATGTTTCTTTATTATATAATTTAATATTGCAGAACATTAATTTAGAATGAACAAATCCACCTCAGAATAGTCAAAATTATTATGTTCCAGAAGAGGTGAAGTAAATGACTGAGCATGGACTTGTCTTAAAAATGATAGACAAAGTCAGTGATTACAGTTGAGTGCAAGGTACCTGTGTTTTGTTCCAAAAAGGAAAAAAAAAGAAACTGAAAGAAAGAAAGAAAATAAACAATGGGAGAGTTTCCCCACATCTGGGAATTGATAATTATTGACTGTAGTAGTACTGAAAACCAATTAAGTAATTACAAAAGAAATTTCCTAACTCAAACTTTTATAAGATATCGGGGATTATTGTCAGAAGGAAAAATTTTCACAACTTAGGCCAACGCAGGCAAATAGAGTTCAAAACTGGTGATTTCAACATTTTTGCTAGAGCTTTATTTTTGTGAAAATACACAATTAATTTTATAAAATATCTTATAAGATATATAAAATCTTATTTTTATCAATTTTGAAATTGGGATCCTAAATTTCTGAACATCATTGGAGCATTCATCAAGTGTGTGGCTTTGCCCTCCTATAGGTTGGGCCTCATTACCTATTAATTAATCGTCTGGTAATCAATATAATCCATAAAGGGACCATTATTTCTAATGTTCAGATCGAAATGGATTCCATTAACTGATTTCGTGGCTTTCCAACGTTCAGAAACTGATGATGATGTTAAACATATCATTCATTAAGACGTGTTAATTGCTAGCCAACTTTAATTTCGCCTGATGACTTTGCTGCCTATAAATGGAAGCGTACTTGGCTGCAGGTTCAAAACACTCTTAGCTTTCAAGGATCTCTTCTCTGTTATGCCCAATACTTCTTCTATTTTCCTGCGTTTTCCTTTCCCAGAAGAGTTCGTTTTGGGAAGTTTCCGCATTCTTCTTGTGTGTTTGGTGGAATAACTTTTAAGAACAATGTCCTCGAACACGGCTCGAACCAGATTTTCTCTTGTGCTCCCTCTAGTAGTTAGCATATGCATGGGGAAAAAAAAACCTATACTAACACTAACTTATAGGAAGTTAAACAAAATAATACTCTGCGTGATCCGAAATGTGAGCAGAGAGTTAGGTAATTCACATAAAATTAAAACAATAAGTTAAGTTAGTTATTATTTATATAAAAAATGTAGGTTGATTTCTCTAATTTATATCATTTATATTACTCCCTCCGTTCCTTATTATAAGAGACAAATAACCGAAGTACGTTGATCAAAAAAACAGTTAAAATTAGTTAAGAACAATTAATGTGTAAAAAGTATAATTTTTTTTCCAAAAATGCCCTCATTAATAAGGAGAGAGAGCATAAGAGAGAACAATTAAATTATTAAAAGAAAAAGAAGTGAGAGGGAGAGAGAGTGTGAGTGGAGATAATAAATATGGGTAAAATAGTAAATCAACACAAAAAAATAAAGACAACTTGTAAGTGTCTCTTATATATAGGAACATGCCATAAGCATCAAATGTCTCTTATAATAAGGAACGGAGGGAGTAAAAACTATTCCTATTTATCACATAAATTGAAATCTTATGTCTTCATCTCCAAATTAAAACAAACTCTTCAATTGATTAACCCTTGGAATCAGAAGTGCTGCTACTAATTAATTGTGTTATTACAGCAATGGTGGAGAGAAAACACTGAAGAACTTGGAGGAGATCATGAATTATTTAGGCTAATTATGAACATATACAGGAAGCAGACAAAATAGAAGTCAAGTCTACAATTTGCTTTGATTCAGATAGTGATACGAAGTTTCAGAATTCATTCCTTTATCGAAGATCGAGAAGACACTAATAATGTTACTACTGTTGAATAATAATAATAATCACACAAAATAACCTAAATCATTAGAGAAAGCATTGTTCATAGCAATGAGATCGTGCAAACTGAAATCATCCATGAGACCATCAAAGCCGTCGTCTGTAAGATTGTGATGAGAGACCTCCAGGCCACTTGAAGACGACGACGAAGCACCAGAAGAAGAATCACCACTCGGATCTACAGTAATAATATCACCAGTATTCCCTGTTTTCTCCATCATCACCATCATTGGCTGCTCTAGATGAAGACCATCATCATCAAAGTCACTAAGATCTGAGACCTGTTGTGACGACTCTATCTGTTGTTGCTGCGGAAACTGATGATGCTGCTGATAATTCTGGTCATGAAAACTAACGTGAAGAACTTGGTCATCTTTAGAAGAACTTGGCCTTGTGGTTGCGTTTGATCTGTCGTTGTGATGAATCTGCATTTCCCGTGTTCCTCGTCGGAAGTTGAGGGTTATGGGGCCCTTAAAAGGGACGCCGAGGGACAAAGGAGTGGTAGGGCAGCCGGTGAACTGTTGGACGAGAGCCCTAAAGTTGGAGGCGTCGGCGTTGAGGCGAGTGACCGGAGTTTTTCCTGGAAGCTCGACTTCTTCGTTTTGCGATGACTGGTTTACAGTTAGACGCATCAGTTCTGGTCTTTGATGAGGAGGTCATCAATTTCATGGAAGAAGATGAACAAGGACTGGCTCTCTTGGACACTGCATCATGATCATGTTGATGAAGAAGATCATTCGCTTCATTAATCCACTGCTCTTC